AGGGGTTAGCCTAGTGACTATTTATAAGCGGTTAGGGGTTTGGGTTCCTTATTTGCCTATTGACTATAACGTCAGGGTTTTAAAAGGGGGTTTGGGGTTCCTTAGTTTAGCCTATGCTAGAAAGTCAGGGTATTAATAGGGTTAGGGTTCCTTATTTGGGCCTAGTGACTATAAGTCAGGGTATTATGGGTTAGGGTCCTTAGTTTAGCCAGTGACTAGAAGTCAGGGTATTAATAGGGTTAGGGTTCCTTAGTTTAGCCTAGTGCTATAAGTCAGGTATTAATAGGGTTAGGTTCCTTATTTAGCCTAGTGACTATTTAGTAAGTCAGGGTATTAATAGGGTTAGGGTTCCTTAGTTTAGCCTAGTGACTAGTAAGTCAGGGTATTAATAGGGTTAGGGTTCCTTAGTTTAGCCTAGTGACTAGTAAGTCAGGGTATTAATAGGGTTAGGGTTCCTTAGTTTAGCCTAGTGACTAATTTAGTAAGTCAGGGTATTAATAGGGTTAGGGTTCCTTAGTTTACCTATGCCTAGGTGTCAGGGGGTATTGAAGTAGGTTAGGGTTTTTCCCTTTAGTTTCCCTAGTGACTAATTTAGTAAGTCAGGGTATTAATAGGGTTAGGGTTCCTTAGTTTAGCCTAGTGACTAATTTAGTAAGTCAGGGTATTAATAGGGTTAGGGTTCCTTAGTTTAGCCTAGTGACTAGTAGTCCGGGTTTTAAATAGGTTTGGGTTCCTTATTTTTAGCCTATGACTAGAAAGTCCAGGGTATTAATAGGGTTAGGGTTCCTTAGTTTAGCCTAGTGACTAATTTAGTAAGTCAGGGTATTAATAGGGTTAGGGTTCCTTAGTTTAGCCTAGGTGACTTATTTAGTAAGTCAGGGTATTACTAGGGTTAGGGTTCCTTAGTTTAGCCTAGTGACTAGTAAGTCAGGGTATTAATAGGGTTAGGGTTCCTTAGTTTAGCCTAGTGACTAGTAAGTCAGGGTATTAATAGGGTTAGGTTCCTTAGTTTAGCCTAGTGACTAGTAAGTCGGGTATTAATAGGGTTAGGGTTCCTTAGTTTAGCCTAGTGACTAATTTAGTAAGTCAGGGTATTAATAGGGTTAGGGTTCCTTAGTTTAGCCTAGTGACTAGTAAGTCAGGGTATTAATAGGGTTAGGGTTCCTTAGTTTAGCCTAGTGACTAGTAAGTCAGGGTATTAATAGGGTTAGGGTTCCTTATTTTTAGCCAAAGTGACAAATTTTAGTAAGTCAGGGTTTTTAATGGGTTAGGTTCCTTATTTAGCCTATGACTTATTTAGTAGTCAGGGTATTACTAGGTTAGGGTTCCTTAGTTTAGCCTAGTACTAGAAAGTCAGGGTATTAATAGGGTTAGGGTTCCCTTAGTTTAGCCTAGTGACAAATAAGTCCAGGGTATTAATGGTTAGGTTCCTTATTTTACCTAGTGACAAAAGTAAAGTCAGGGTATTAATAGGGTTAGGGTTCCTTAGTTTAGCCTAGTGACTAGTAATCAGGGTATTAATAGGGTTAGGGTTCCTTAGTTTAGCCTAGTGACTAGTAAGTCAGGGTATTAATAGGGTTAGGGTTCCTTAGTTTAGCCTAGTGACTAGTAAGTCAGGATTAAAGGGTAGGTTTAGTTAGCCTAGGACTAGTAGGGGTATAAGGGTTAGGGTTCCTTAGTTTAGGACTTCCTATAACTGGCGCTTTATAAATAAACTTCATCTTCATCTTCATCTTCATCACCAGTGATAATGGTTGTATCCCAAATGCCACCCTATTCCCTACATAGTGCACTACTTTAGACCAGAGCCCTATGGGCCCCACTGTATTAGAGAATATGGTGCCATTTGGACCTCAGCCCCTGTCTATGTGTCTCTTGGCAGCGTAGTATATAATCAGCCCCAGGGTGACAAGCACCGCTGACCCCACCAGAGAGAGGAACCCCACCACGGGCCTCTTGGCCAGGACCAGACACCCCGGGCAGGGTAGGGGCTGACTGGGGCACTGCAGCGTCGACGCAGGGGTCCCCTGGAGGGGGAAGCCGTTGTGCTGGATAATGTTCTGGTACTGGGACAAAGAGGCCTTGATGATTTCCTCATCCTGGACGTGGCCGTACAGGCCGAAGCCTGGGTCTCTCTGGTCGTTCAGGGAGTAGGCGAAGTAACCCTTCAGATTCACCCCATCTAGGGTGTAGGCTGGGGGAACGGAGGGGAGGGAGAAGCAAAGGTTTATTACAATTGTAAGGGCTATCCGTTCCAGTTAACAAAATTACATTTACGTCATTTAGCAGACGCTCTTATCCAGAGCGACTTACAGTTAGTGAATACATATATATATATTTTTTTCATACTGGTCCCCCGTGGGAATCGAACCTACAACCCTGGCGTTGCAAACGCCATGCTCTATCAACTGAGCTACATCCCTGCCGGCCATTCCCTCCCCTACCCTGGGCCAATTATGCGCCGCCCCATGGGTCTCCCGGTCGCGGCCGGCTACGACAGAGCCTGGATTCGAACCAGGATCTCTAGTGGCACAGTGCAGTGCCTTAGACCACTGCGCCACTCGGGAGGCCTATATGACATAGGGAAAGAGGGGTAAGTGACTAAAGCTAAACTCCATATTGTTAAACACATAAGAATAATTCATTCAAGTTCATCATTCCTTTCTTTCATAATACGTTCATAATCACATTATCAATTAATCACATTATCAATAGCAATATTTCATAATGATATATTTTAAATGGGGCAAAACACTCATTATAAACTGGTTAGTTCGAGCCCTTAATGCTGATTGGCTGACAGCCGTGGTATGATACATGTCATATAAGGGGTTGGCAACATGGTCATGGTAACCCCTAGTTACGGCGGCAAACAGTTTTTGACCGCACCCGTTGTTTACGCTTTTGCTCTCCGATTGCCTTGTTTTCTGGACTTCATAACCATGAGAGAACAAGGGGCTTATGTTATTTCAATCTCAGTATCGTTAGAAAAAAACATTTATTTTTACTGATCTAATTACGTTGTTAACCCGTTTATAATAGCAATAAGGCACCTCAGGGGTTTGTGGTATATGGCCAATATACCACGGCTAAGGGCTGTATCCAGGCACTCCGCGTTGTGTCACGCTTCAGAACAGCCCTTAGCCGTGGTATATTGGCTATATTTACATTTAAATACTTGGATGGCTCACAACTTCCTCCAGCTAAATAAAGACAGCACTGAGGTATTTATTGTTGGAGCACAGAGAGAGAATCTGGCCGCATATTTTTAATTCCAGGGCAATAAAGATAAAACACCAGGTAAAAAACCCAGGTGTTATTTTAGATTCTGAACTCAATTTCTCATCACACATTAGGAATGTTACTAAGATATTGCCAAGGTGCGTCCGTTTCTCTCTCAGGCTGATACAGAGAGACTCATTTACATTTACATTTACATTTTAGTCATTTAGCAGACGCTCTTATCCAGAGCGACTTACAGGAGCAATTAGGGTTAAGTGCCTTGCTCAAGGGCACATTTACGTCATTTAGCAGACGCTCTTATCCAGAGCGACTCACCAATTGGTGCGTTCACCCTATAGCCAGTGGGATAACCACTTTACAATTTTGGGGGGGGGGGGGGGGGGGTAGAAGGATTACTTTATCCTATCCCAGGTATTCCTTAAAGAGGTGGGGTTTCAAATGCCTCCGGAAG